TAGTACGTAGTAGAGAGAGAGAGAGCAGAGAGAGAGAGAGAGAGAGAGAGAGAGAGAGAGAGAGAGAGAGAGAGAGAGAGAGAGAGAGAGAGAGTTGGACCCCTGCTCTCTGCTCCATCGATCTGCAGAGGCGTGCAGAGGAGCTTCTACCGGTCGATGCTCGTTGGACACTGTTTCGGAGCTTTTTTTGTTTCAGGGGGATGCCAAAAGTGGAATTACTGTTTGGAACATGCTATTGGAAAATTTGGTACGGTAAGACTGTGGCGGTTATGTCGTTTTATTTCATGTCGCTGTGTTTTAGCTTTCATTTAGACTGCTGAAGTGTTTAAAGATCCCCCCCGTGAACAAAGATACAGAAAGCTCATGCTCCATGCAGAACTGATGTATCGACATGTGAGTGACTGAGCTGAACTTTGCCTCACATCAATGCAAGCTTTGGATTCAGGCTTTACCTGAAGAGACTGGAAAGTATAAAATTGAGCAGCAATGTGAGTTATGGAGCTGCCGAAGATGTGGGATGATGATGAGAATGATGATCGTTGTGATGTTTTGACAGGAACTGCTCATTTTCTAGCAGTGATGTAAGACCTATCCAGATCCTTTACTTAAGTAAAGAACAAATAACACACTATTAAAGTACTGTGTTAAAAGTCCTGCATTCGAAATGTTACTTAAGTAAAAATAAGTATTTATAATCAGCAAAATGTTGTAAAAATAATAAAGTTAACCGAATGCAAACAAATCTAAATTATATATATCAGCAACAATATTAGAAAATTGTTTTAACAAACTCATGAAGAGAAAAATACTCAAGGAAAGTATAATACCTTTACATTGCCCTTAGGCCCTTAACCCTTATTTACCTGGGGGTGGCAGAGCTAATGTTACTGCACTGATATGAATGTCATCATCATTACCATCATCTTCTATAATTTAGACCAGGGAAAGTCAGTCAATTCACTAGGTTAGTATGTTAAATAAGTTAATAATGACACATCTCTATTAATAATAACAATCTTAGGTAATATTTTAGTGCCAATCAACACTCTTTTGTAAAAACTAAGATTATTGCTGCTTTTGTTATATTCTTAACTTTACAATGGGATCATATGATCGCAGTTATACTGAGGCAGGGTGAAACTGAAGCACTGTTTCAGACCTCTCTGTGTGCTCACTTTAGATTCTGTGTCCCAAGTTGAATACACAATACCACATCAGCTTGTGTCCTTTTAAAACAAAGTATTTTTGGTCTTTGTAAGGCCCCTTGTCACAGGTTTAGTATTATCATTATTATTACAGGAAGACTTTGAGAGCAAGAACCTTTCACAAGAACTTGATAAAAGTACATACAAAAGTAGCACACAGGAGTTACATACATCAACAAATGATACAACAACTAGGCCAAGGATGTATACATTTGTTCAATGAAAGAGCATGCACTTTGGTGTAGATGGTTCTGCTTGAGTGGAGCTCAGCATGAGCCAATCTCAGTAGTAACATGAGGACTTTGGAGGGCCAAATAGTCTCAAGCCATATAATTCACGAGACAATATGATCCAATTTGAATTATTTAGAGGACTTAAAGGTGAAGTATTTTGCAACAAAGGTTAGATATTTTCAGAGAAAATGTGTGACATGTTTTGTGTAGAAAAAACTACACCCCTAAGTTGGGAATCAATGCTTTTGGATATGGATGCACTGGCTGCTGAAATCAGTGGTTCTTGTTCCTTATTCCAGAAACGTCTTATCTCTCCAATACATGGGTGCCCACACTTTTTCAGCTTGGGAGCTACTTTTAAAATGTCCAAGCCCAAATGATCTACCTACAGGGCCGCCATGGGGGGTGTGCTAGTGGACTAAACGGCGGATAAACTGTGCGCTTCAGATGAGGAGGTGAGGCCCCCTCATACTGTAACTGCATGAACCCGTATGGCACAATACAACTCAGACTGGCTTACCCGTACGTCAATCAAGTGGCAAATGCCATAGTAAGGATGGATGGTAGGCTCACATTAAAAAAATTAATTAAAAAAATACGATCGCGATCAACATATTGGGCACCCCTGCTCCAATACAATCGAACCAGGTTAATTAGAGTTAGGCCGTTAGGAAAAAGGCATTACAGATTCAAACGCTTCCCAGAGTACATGTTGCTATCATTGTTTAATATTAGAAAAAGTTATTAACAAGCAAGGCAAGGCAAGGCATGCCATTTTATTTATATAGCACCTTTCAACTAAAGGCAATTCAAAGTGCTTTACAATAGCGAAAAAAATTATAATTAGGAGCATTAAGAAATAGTGCAGTGGAAACACATTATAAAATTGGATTTAAAAACTGTCATTAAAAAGCAAAGATAATAAAACATGAATAACACAGGCACATGAATAATAATACAAGTTCTAAGAATTGCAACGGACCTGCATGTTTCTGGTAGTTTGTTCCAGATATTTGGAGCATAATAACCAAACTTCTCCATGTTTAGTTCTGACTCTGGGTAGGGCTGCTCGATTATGGCAAAAATCATAATCTCGATTATTTGGGTCAATAATTGTAATTGCGATTATTAAATGCGATTATTCATTGACTTTGAAAACATCCATTTATTGGAGAAAAAAAAATGAACAGGATGTTTTTAACAGTGGATTACCCTGAACTTTAAGTATAATTCAACTGAAAAACCAAAAAAAAAAAATTATAAAAAAAAGAAAAATCATAATAATAATAAAAAAATAATCGTTTTATTTTGATTACGTTGTTTTCGTAATCGTTGCAAGCCATAGATTACGAAAACAACGTAATCAAAATAAAACGATTATTTTTTTATTATTATTATGATTTTTCTTTTTTTTATAATTTTTTTTTTTTGNAATATGGTTTTTTGAACGATGGATGTAAACATGTTTAATTCTGCTCTAAAGTTGGGCATTTTAACATTGGGGTCTATGGAAATTGCTCCCTTCTGCAGACTGCTCCTACTGGCCACTAGATGAACTGCAGTTTGAGGCACTTCCGCATTGGCGTCCCGGCTCTTCCCCAGAGTTTGTCGCTTGATTATAACCCATCATAAGCAGTTAACTAGAGTGTACTCACAGGCTGTCCACCCCACCAGCGGTGTTTCAGTTTCTCCCTGCTGCGGAGGCTGAAGGTGGCATTAAACACTGGATCATGCATGGTGTTTCCCACAATGCCATGAGACTCCGGGTACAGACCCTACAAACAGATCACACATAGTACTTATTTTAATGTTAAATATCAGTCTTGCATCAGCATCATATCCTTTGCTGTTGGACCTTTTGAACAGGGGTACTAGTGTTGAACAACATAACCAGTAGTTACTTACTGTGGCTAGGGTGTATAAATTTGGGAAGGTCTTTGATGGGTAGACTGGTCGCATGTAGGGTGCTGACGTACCACACTCACCTAAAAGGACAAATGTCATTTTTTCAAATGTAAACTTTCTAAAACATATACAAGCAAATCAAAATGGTCAATTAAATAATAAGCACAGTAGGATAAAGCTAGATACTGTCATGCAGGGTCCCGATTTGTCTTCGAAATATCTGAGGTCCATTGTTCTTGTGGCCTAGACCTTGCAGACATCAGTATCAGAGTTTACTGTATTTTGTACAAAATCAGTTGTGGTTTTATCAGGCTGGGGAGACAGAGGATGATTCTGATGCCGGGTGACTCAAAGCCAATGGTAGAGGCAGACACCAAGGGGGAGTTTAGGTAGATAAACTAGGGCGTTTTCTTCATCTGTTCATGGAATCCTCACGTTGTAGTGGGCATATGGAGAGGAGGCTCTAATGTCCCTCGTGTTTCAAACTTTCTTCAAGAAGGGGCTAATGTGGCTTTCTTTCAAGGTTTCTGATGTGTTGTGGTCTTGTTGTTCCTCTGATTCCTCTTGTCTCCTGTCCTTGACAAAAGGAACAGATCGGTGACGTAGGACGCAAAATAGATTGGAGGTAAGTTGTTGAGGGACATAGTTGACCTGCTTTTAATGATATCAGCCCCTTACATGACCTTTATCATTGGTTATCAGCTTTACAGATAGGTGATAGAAGGGACCCAAATTATTCATTTCTGCCACCTTTGACCTTAAGTTGGTGATACAGCAAGAGGTGAAGAGCTCTGAGACCTTAAGCAAGAACACTTCCCTCATCCATCAGCAGACCTTTGACTCGCTGTTCTGGCCCAACACCGTCACAATGACGCTGTGACGTTAGACACTAAAGAAGGAGAACTAAACGTTGCAGACTGTCAGACCCACCGCAGTAGAATAAGAAGTTTTCTTTTAGAACTCTGGTGCTGGAAATATTATTGATTTTGACCAGAAGGAATGCCAAAATCAACACAAAAACATACCAATTTTAACCAAAACTATGATAATATATTTCCTAGACCAAATAGTGCTTAATCCTAATTTGTTTCTTAAATGCGTTGTTATGAGGTCAAAGTAATTTCTCATATTTTATTCTTTGAGATTGGGTAAGCAAAAGGGTTCTTGGAGAAAATACTATAGCAGTGCAAACCTCATCTTACTTGTTCCAGGGTAAAGGATTTAGGCTTTGTGTCAAGAGAGTTCCAGACAAGAAGAATAAGCCTACTTGAGATTGATTTCCAGAAAGAGAGCCCTCCTGTTTCTTATAAATTGGTACTTTAAAAAAACGTTATTTTTCCATTATGCTGAGTTTTGAGCGGTAAAGTGGTATTATTCCAACACAACTGTATAAGATAGACAAGAGTTTTTTAGTCACACAGCTCATGTGTTGGATTCAGAAAACGATATTATGAGACAAAGTCAAGAGTACGTACTGAGTTTATGTATGTTGGGGATGACAGAGTTGCCCTTCTTCAGGTAGGATGCTCGGAACCCGTCGACAGACAGCATGATGAGGGGAGGTCGGATGAAGCTATACACAAGAAGGATGTAAAGATAAAAATTCACCATTGGCAATATCTGTATTTTGGATGTAATTAAGGTTATTATTCTTTACTTTTCATTAAAGAACTCCTATCATGCTATTTCTAGTCATACATTATGGGTTTCAGATATATAAAAAAATATATAAATAACATGTCTATGATGTGTTTTGCTCAGAATATCAAACAGATCACCCTTTCTAGCCATGCCTATCCTTCTCAACGCCATATCATGTTCAAAACCACATCAAGGATTATTTCTGAAACAGTATGGGCCTCAAATGCTTTTTTTACAAAACAGCTTGGGTAAGAGTCAAGCCAATGGCCAAGAAACAAGTGATTACGTTTTTTTTTACTTACTTGTATCTTTAAGGATAAGGATGGTGGTACTCTATATTCTTCGTAATATCAACAAGTCCAGGAAAAGATCAAAAGCAACAATTTCTTACACTTTCTGTGCCACTTAGTCCATTTGTATTTATAAAATTGAAACAGCTAAAAACACAGTTTCTTTCAAAAAAACAAAGGATCAGTAATTTCCTCAAGTAATTTATTTTCCTGCTTTTTTATACATACTCTCTCTAGTACAGCTTAGCTCTGAGTGTTAGCGATGCTTGCTAATGTAAACAAAGAGCATATTACGTCCAAAACACGTTGCGTAAGGTTTCTGATACAGCGATGTTTCTGATAGGGCCGTGGGTGTAAAGCCAGTCCACATTTACGATATTACATGGGCCATGGCTAATCTGGATTAGCACCGTTGTGCTCCCCGTTTTTTGGAGATGTGGGTACGGAAGAAAAGAGAGAGGGTTTTGTTCTCTGACACTTTGCGAGTTCTCTGATACTCTGAGGACACATGTTTATGTATAAAAGAGATCAAAAAGTACATTTTGCATGATAGGAGACCTTTAAATCAAATTGGATAAATGATACTAAAGGTCTGATGTGTCTAATATGGACTAAGAACTAACAGTTCTCTTAAGACTTCAATTAAACACACATTCTTGAGTTTAATTGTTGAGTTTGACGTCAGTTCAGACTCACCCGGCAGGACATTCTGCCGTGTTGATCTCCTCACAGTCTCCGTGCACCCATGTTGCCTCACCTCAAATGGAAACAACAGCTCAGAGTAATTACCTAATTTAAATCCCATTCATTCTCAATTAGTTGTATAATGTTTTATAGACACACATCATGATAAGTACCTTTGCAGAGGGACTTATAGTTGGAGCAGCAGTCTCCTCTCTCCAGGCAGTCCTGTGAGCAGTGGCAGGCGTGATCGTCATTCCTCTCCTCCCCGCAGCGATCCTGCATGCACTCGAAACCTCCCGCTGAGACACATATGACAAACATCAACAATGAATACACTGTGAATTACATCTCAGGCAGCATGTCTGTAGCAGTTTTACAATTACAAGAGAAGCAGACGTAATTTGAGACAAGAAGGGACTGTCGAATTCATTTGGAGAGATTTTAAGTGTTTTTGTCTTGGATAAAGCCCCACTGTTGTTTGCTTAATGTTTTCAAGATGAAGCCACAGTTACACTCTCTTCCAAAGCCAAGGTCTAAATTAGCATCAGATGAAAATGGACATTTTGGCAACTTCAGGACAGTTGCCCTTTGTTCATGTTTAATCAGCTACAGCAGAAAGCACGTATCATGGTATGTACATAGAGTTTTCTTAGGACTGGAGCTACTGTAGTACTGCTGTGTAGTATTCCAAACAAATGTAGTAATTGTATCACTTTACTTCCACTACTGTATACTGTCACAGATAATATGAGGAATAACAGCATCGATAAATGTGTACTCTAAATGGGACCATCATTTAAAAAGACTGAGAACTAATGTTTGAGACTATAAAGTCAGGTTGAAGTTAACTTTCCTAGGATAATTCAAACGAGAAATACATATTTACATTTTCTCATAGACTTCTATAAAACCAGATTTTTATTTTACAACCAGCAGAGTGGCTCCCTGCTGGATATTTGGAAGAACGCAGGTTTTGGGACAAATATTTTGTCTTTGATTGGACTCGAGTCGACCCATTGCCGTTCAATGGAAGACTTATGGAATCCTATGATCAGCAACCAAACAGATCTGCCCTTTATCAAATGTTAAACTTGGTTTATGTTGTCGTTTTGCCACCTGCCATTATTTTTGAAACAGTATGCCAATTGACAATGGTTTTCAAAGAATCTCTGTTATGTGACAATCCGTTTTTTAATGTCACCTTTAAGTATCAGCTCATCTCACTTGGTACCCAATGCTGAGGAGTTAAAAGAATACCAGGCTATCCACAACTTTTTTCTGGTAAACCAAAAAAATAGTATATCCAGTTGCAATGCAATTAAAACATAACTTAATAATCCTAAACAAACATGCAAGCGACCTACTACACCAAATGGATTGATTTGCTTGAGAAAAAAGTCCCTTAACTAATAAACTACTTTTACCTGATTGAATAACTTCTGCCAAAAACTACTTGAGGAAATGACTGATCCTTTTTTCTTTTTTTTAAAGAAACTGTGTTTTTAGCTGTTTCAATTTTATAAATACAAATGGACTAAGTGGCACAGAAAGTGTAAGAAATTGTTGCTTTTGATCTTTTCATGGACTTGTTGATATTACGAAAAAATATATAGTACCACCATCCTTATCCTTAAGGTAAAACAAGTAAGTCAAACAAAACGTAATCACTTATTTCTTGGCCATTGGCTTGACTCTTACCCAAGCTGTTTTGTGATATCATGCTAGTGATATCAAGCATCCAAATCAGAGGATAACATGTTAACAGATGTGAAACCAGAAGAAGCGATTGTGACATCAGACTGACCTGTTTTGAGGCACTGCTCGTCGAAGTCGGAGCAGCAGCTGATGTAGGTCTTACACAGATTGTCACATCTGCATCCTGGAGGATTGGTTACGTCCAGCTCAAAGCACCTCCCCTTGCAGGAGCCCGCTGAGCTGACCCACTCTGAAACGACTGGAGAGAAGAGAGGGGCATGGTTGCACACAACTGCTGCAAACAAACTTTATTCGTCTACGTAACATAAATCTGTTTTACTCAAGATTGTACATAAACCTTACTTGAATAAAATACGTTGGCATATTGCATTCATGTATGTACAGTACACAGAGTATTCATGCAGGTTAAAGGCCGTTAAATCTAAACGGCTCATAAAGCAAATAACTACCAGCTGTTTTTCGAAGCACTCTGCAGGCAGCCTTTGGTTCCAGTTCACTTCAATGCACAATGGACCAACAGAGAGCTCAATAATATTGTTTTTGTTCTCTCAAAATGTCAGTAGTGGCTGATTCACATCAGATCATTTTTATTTCACACTTGTGTTTGCTTGGATGTAGTGTCCTGGATTATGTATTGTTTTTCATCAATTTAGCTATGGTATTCTGTAGCATACTTTATATGCTAAGATTAAAATAAAATGCTCGGTCCCTGTTTGCAAGTACCACATGCTGCTGGAGCAGCATAATGAATAATATGTCCGGAATAGAATATTTGGAATATACAGTATTTCAAAGTGTACTTTTACTGAATGTTAGGTACACTAACTTTTCAAGACTACAACACGTAAACAACCATGACCATGTTGGGGATCTCCAGCATGTACGACCAGTTTTATTTCACTACTTAGAAATTTGTTTGAAATGTATCATAACAGCACATTGGGGGCTGTTCTCACCTTTAGTGTGGGTGGGTGGGTTGTCTCCCTCTGAAGGTCTACTGGCTTGAAAAACATAAGCTCTGCTGACATCAGTACTCCACAGACAGAACACAACCACTACCTGCAGAAAAAAACACAGACCACACATTAGAAAAACAAACAATAATTGATGATTTATTCACTCCAATGAGCACAAATGTTAGCATCTGAATACAATACATTTAGAAGGGCGCTATGCTTTTAGGGTCTTCCCTTTCCTGTAGTGTGTAATATAGGTTTTTGTGCATTTAAATGGTCTGTAAAGGCTAAAATCCCTGTGTTCCCTCAAGGGGGAGTTTCTCTCGCACACACGAGTGAGTGAAATGCCTCCATTAGACTTTACTTCTGTAACATAATGACATAACTATGCAACACTCACGCTTCTATTCACTAGCGCTCCAATCCATGTTACGTGACAGACTGAGGGTCGTGACATCTCTTAGCAATTGATCAATCACAACAGAGCCAGCCAGCTAACCAATCAGAGCAGACTGGGCTCTGGTTTCAGACAGAGGGTGAAAAGAGGTGCTGCAGCACAGGCAGTATGAGAAAAATAAAGAGCTTTTTGAACATTAAAGCATGGAGACATGTCACAGTTGAGGCACTAAACATAAATGTGAACCTACAGTCACATACGGTGGTTATCACAGGTAATGAAAATTGCATCCTCACCCGCTCAAACATACAAACATAAATTGAGTCCCAAATGATTTCTTCTGATTAGCTTGTTGTCAGAAAAGAACATTGGGCTCACAAATAACCCTTTTCCACCAAAAAATGTTGCAGTGTCGTTCCATGCGGGCTCTAGTTTGATTAGCAATTGGTTCAACTTGTTAACCATTGATGCAACAGCGTGAATATCCCTCACAACAACACCAACGGCAAAAAAGTTTGAAGCTGCTCATGTTGCCAATGAACTTACAAAGCTAGACTGAATTGCAAGCAACATTTCTCCAACTTTATACGTTTCTCCAGAGTGTAGTTCAGCAAAATAGTTCAGCAAAATGTGCAGACTGCCAAAGTTGTACGTCGCTCAGGAAAACAAGTTCGCAATCAGGTACTGGCTCCAGACCGACCCTTGAACCGCAGAAGTGGAAAAGCTTCCAAAGAAAAAATATAACAACATTTTGGTTGACAACTAAATAACAAGTAGGCGGCGAAAATAAATTATTACTTAATTGTTGTGGGTTTCATAAGCACATTTTATAAATAATGTTTGAAGGTTTTCTCACAAATAAATATAAAATAGATATTACAGAGGAAATTATGACTTGTTTACAAGCAACTTTGTATACATAACTCATGCCAAGATGGTATTTTTATAAAAGCAAAAGTTGAAACCTAAACATTTTCTTTTGTAATCATTTAAATCGGGTGTATACATGAATACCCTATATAGATGATATTTATAAAGAAAAACATTATTAAAAAATGGTAAAAGTATATTTCAAACTGAGTATGCAAAGGTTGAAATTAATTATCTTGGATGAGGGGCCTGTTTTAGGAAGTGTTGTCGTCCTGTCCTGATAATGTCTTTGAAGTAATTTTTGGGAGTTCAAACCCAGAGTTGGTTCAATTTGCAACAATAATAATGGAAAACAGGACATATTCACATTTAGGTAACCTGTGGGTGTGATGACAAAATGTTTATTTGAAAGATTGTTTCATTATGAACCTTTTATTCATCAAAGCTCTAACATTGAGTATGACACACTTAGGTTATTTTCTCTGGGAGGCACTTTCTTTAGAAGATAAAGAAGATGACGCAGTTTGAGAGAAAGCAAGAGCCCACAGAAATATGTTTTTGGTTACAGCACAGATTTAAACTGAAATGATACAGATGTTTGCTGGTTGTTCACTTAAGAAACTCTGAAGGAGCCTGGAGTTCATTGAACCTCATGTTCTGCAACAAGCCTCTTCTGCCTCATGACGATTCATTGGATGTGTCAAAGCAATAGCCGTTTAGCCCTACGGATTAGTGAAAGCCACAGCTGAACTGCTGTCATAAAGGAGAGTGTTTTAAAGATGTTGAGCGAATTAGGATGCTTTAACACAGCGGAGTGGCAGAACTTTAGTGTTAGTATTATTAGATCTCAGTGCTGCATTTGACACTGTTTACCACAACATATTACTAGACCAACTACAAAACTGGGTGGGACTTTCGGCAACAGTTCTAAATTGGTTTGAATCCTACTTAAAGGACAGGAAAGACTTTGTTTCTATAGGTAAATACACATCTGAGTTGACAAATATGACATGTGGGGTCCCTCAAGGCTCCACCTTGGGGCCTCTTCTCTTTAACATCTACATGCTACCACTGGCTCAGAGAATGAAAAACAACAAAATAAGTTACCATAAATATACAGATGGCACACATATTTACATAACCATTTCACCAGGAGACTATGCTCCAATTCAAACACTGAGTAAGCGCATTGAACACATCTAGGTGTAGTCATGGACTCTGACCAGAATTTCAACAGTCACATTAAAACAATTACTAAGTCTGCATACTATCACCTTAAGAATATATAGAGGATTAAAAGACTAATGTCACAGCAGGATTTGGAAAAACTAGTCCATGCATTTATCTTCAGTAGACTCGACTACTGCAATGGTGTCTTCACAGGTCTCACTAAAAAATCAATTAGAAAGCTGCAGCTAATTCAGAACGCTGTTGCTCGAGTCCTCACTAACACTAAGAAAGTGGATCACATCACACCTGTTCTGAAGTCTTTACACTGGCTTCCTGTGTGTCAAATAATGTATTTCAAAAATACTGCTGCTGGTTTATAAAGCTTTGAATAGTTTAGGTCCAAAATACATTTCAGACCTACTGCTAAATTATGAACCATCCAGATCTCTCAGGTCTTCAGGGACTGGTCAGCTTTCTGTCCCCAGAGTCAGAACTAAACATGGTAAAGCAGCGTTCAGTTATTATGCTCCAAATATCTGGAACAAACT